GCAAACTCTGATGTAACAGATGAGGAAAAAACATAATTATGAATGCGAAAAAATCAGTAATCATTCATAATTGTGACCAGTGGATTAAAAACCCTGATGACTATTTTGACATCCCAATGGGATCATTGGACTCTGCAGTCTTCTGACCTTATTGATCTTTTATTAACGACGTCGGATTGCATAGAGATGATGATCATAAGAAAGCTTACTAAATTTAAAATAGATAAAATTAGAAAGCGGACAAATTAAATGCCTAAACTTGAAAATTACCGTAAATACTAATTTTAAAATGTAGACTTCCTATAACATTAAATTTAATGAATAATATACACCTACCTTACAAAAAACGCAACACTAATATATAACCCTCTCTATATACACCCCAAGTCTAACCATCCTCCATCAATAATTAAGCATATACCTTCATCTACTCAAAAAAGAATAAGCACTAAGTTAGCAAATGAAAAAAATATTTTATGAACATAGCAATTTCTATGATAAAGCTCTAAAGAATAGTGACTATAAGTGCACAAAGATTAATTATGTAAAAAATAATTATGGAAACCAAAGAAAAAATAGAAATAGAAAAATCATTTGATATACATCGCCATTCAACCAAATGATTATAAGTAAACTAGGACAAAAATTCCTTGCATTAATCGAAAAACATTTTCCTAGAAATAGTAAAGTCAGCCAAATTTTTTATAAAAATACCTTAAAAATAAGTTACAGTAGTACTGAAAACTTAGAAAGGATTATGAAGAAACATAATGCCAAAATCATAAATAAATACTTACACCAAAATCAAAGAAATATAGATTCTGAAATAAGAATAAAAAATAAAGAAAATTATGTAACTAGAAATGCTGAAAATTGTCCTCTGGATAATAAATATCGTATAAAATCCGTATTTTATCAATGCAATATCTCATCTATTGAGAATCTTAATATTGTTAGAGTCTATGTAGGATGTAAAAAGAATGAATTTATATTAAGGTGGGCTAACACCAGTGTTTTCAATAATACTAAATATCGCAACCAAACATCGATACCTAAATATTTATGGCATTTAAAAGAAACCAGTGTAAAATGGAAATTAATAATAAAAAAAAAATGACTCATGTCCTTTTTACATGCATGAAAAGTAAAATATTATTAAGTTTCTGAAGAATACAAATTTATTAAATCGAAGAAATGAAATAGCGATTTTTGTAGACATTTCCAATTTTTTTCTTTAAGTAATAGCTAATTTTATAAAATGAAACTAACATATTTATATTTGATCATAAATAGAATAGTTTATGAATACATAATTAGATTTTAATATATTCATTTTAATATTACCATATATGTACTCAATAAGTAAATAAATTAAAGTCGGTACAAATGAAAATGTAAATATTAGAAATATGACTAAATAATATTTGAATGCCCCTTTTGAAAAAATCGTAATTGAAATTTATATAAAAAATAAAAATTGAATAAAATATTAAAAATATAAAGATACCAAATGTATTGCTATTGAAACTCAGATGATGTGTTAGAACATAGACACTACCACAAATTTCTACTTGGAAAAAAAAGTTCGTGTGAATAGACAGATATCTCAGCCGCCACATTGAATTGACTGACTTGATAGCTCACAATAAATTAGATATATGAGTTTTCTAAATAAGTTAAATATTAACAGCCCTAAGATAAAAAAAGATTGAATATTCCTTAACCCAACATCTCAAAATATCAAATTTGTCTGGACTTATAAATTAAGTAAATGAATTTCTAAAAAGTTATTCTTAGCATCGCTTGATAATGGAACGGAACTTTGTAATTTGTTTAATTTTTATTATTGAATTTGAATTGAAGTTTCAGTTTTGAAACATGGGAATTTCGGTGTTGCGATGATAATATATTAAAAAAAAAACAATTATAATATTATGCTCTACTATTGCATGGAGCTATGTTTTTTAAAAATAAAAATAAATGCTAAGAACTCTGAAGTATATATCTCATTGTTCTTTCTTATTATTTTAATATATATATATATATATATATATATATATATATATATATATATATGTCTGTGTTTCATTAAATAATTTAGACAAGTTTTGTCTACTTATTTTTAATAGGATCCTCTCGTAATTACAGACAAGTTGCTTAGTATTGCATTAAAGGAAGAAAGAAAATTACCATTTTATTCTGAGTACTTTCGATATTAGTACAATGTCCTCATCAGGGTCTTGTTTTTTCTAAGACAAAATTTGTTGTATTCATTGTTTTTCTATGACGAAATTGTGTTCATCTGAAAATTAAATTTTTTACGTGTGAAGTGAAAAACGCTAGTTTTATGCAGTATACAATTTTTAAAATGTTATCATGTAGACAAGCGTACAGATGTCAAGGGAGGTAACTAAATTATTGAAATAAATATGCAAAAAAGAAGAAAAACTATTTCAAAACTATTTGTTAAAACTTCAATATTTTAAACTATCTACTGTAAACATTTTAAACTATCTACTGTAAACATTTTAAAACGTTTGTGCAGTATTGAGAATTAATTTTATTAAGGTTTGATTTCATTTTTTTTAATATAGATAGTTTCAAGAATTTTTAATTTATGTTATTTATTTTCATGAAAAGGTATAGATCTATTTTCAACAAGAATTTTCCTAAATTGCGAGTCAACATGGCAATTTTCTGTCTTCCGTTAATAAATGATACTAAGAAACTTGGCCGTAATTACGAGAGGATCCAATTCAAAACAAATAGACAAACTTGCCTAAATTATTTAATGATACATACCTTGATGAAAACATGCTGCTAAAATATACGCAATATATATATATATATATATATATATATATATATATATATATAATCTGATAGATTTTTACATGAATGTTAATTTTAGTGGATAACCATATTTGAGTAGACGCCTGTTTATTTATTCAGCTGTATATTTATTCTTTTTCGTTTACCGGCCTGAATATTGGAGAAATATTATTATAAAAATATACATTCGCCGGCAGGATTCGAGCCTGCGTTCCCCTATAGATCTGATGTGATTTGTCTTCTGTCTACAGAGTGCGTCGATGACAAAGCAAATTTCCGAATAGTGCATTCAAAAAGACATTTTATTATTTAAAAAAAATATTTATTTGCAATAACTTTACAAATTTAATGTAAATAAATATTCTTAAAGACTACAATTGCATTTTCAACTTCTTTTCCTTATATTTTGACCCGTGTGGGATATATGTATGTGTGTGTGCGTATGTGTATGTGTATGTGTGTGTGTATATATATATATATATATATATATATATATATATATATATATATATATATATAAATATATATATATATATATCCACACATATATATTTTATTATAATTATTATTGTTATTATTATTTTTGTTATTATCGACATATATATGATATGACATGCATGTATGTCTGCATGGCTTATGTATATGGGTTTATACATGGATATGTGTATGTGCATATGTATCTATGTATTTATGTATCTATGTATGTGTGTATATTTGGACATATATATATATATATATATATATATATATATATATATATATATATAAATGTATGTGTACATATATATATATATATGTATGTGTAAATATATATATATATATATATGTCTTTGCATTTTAAGTTTTTAGTCACTTAAAATGCTTCTTATATCTTTATTAATTTAATCAAATCTTTTAACTCTTTTTTCAAAGAATTTCATTTTGTTAAATTAATGTTATTTTTTATATTGACGTCAAATATTTTAATAATATTATTATTATTAATAATAATATTTTTATTATTATTTTTTTTATTATTATTATTATTATTATTATTATTATTATTATTATTATTATTATTATTATTATCAATTTGTAATTGTGACTGTTATAATGCGATGGGGATAGTTTCGCTGCTTAAAATCACTAGAAAATTTCAATATATCTGTTTTGAAATGTGATCACTCCCTTCCCCCACCCTATTTTTAACTTTTCAAGTCCGGGTAATAAAATATATTCTTGGTCAACATAGCGACTGGCTTAACTCCTTTTTTTTTCCCTTACTCCCTTTCTTTCTCTTTCCCCTCTCCATGTCTATCTCTCTTTCTCTTCCTCCTAAAAAAAAAAAAAAAAAACATTATATTGAAATCTCTGACTTTCTCTCTCTTTTTTCCTTCCCCTTTTAATATTAAAACATTTTCTTTTTCTATTTTCTCTCTCTTCCTTTTTTCTTTTCCTTGTGTCTGATTAAATTGAACTCCATCTATTTTGTAAAATTTGGTCTGAAGAGATGGACGTCTGAGTTAACAAAATAAACTATCACCTGAATAGATATTTAAAGATTCTATATTCATTATACACACATATATATATATATATATATATATATATATATATATATATATATATATATATATATGTGTGTGTGTGTGTGTGTGTGTGTGTGTATATATATATATATATATATATATATATATATATATATATATAAAAAAACAAACTGGTCCTAATACACAGTTTTGATTTAAATTCCAACCTGAAGAGGCCGGGTGCAGTAGATGTCACGACGGCGAAACGCGTCGTTTATAGTCATCCACAGACAGACTGTTTGCTCTATCTCGGCTCATCGGTTTGGCTAGACATCCGATCGCTTCAAAGCCAAAACCCGACCAATTTGGCATCAGTCAGAGAGTCTAACCCCTAGGCTAACAAAACCCGGCAGAGAGAAAGGCGAATTTTTACGTATATCTTTTTTCATAAACACACTAATGACCTAGAGAACTCAATGCAGCTTGATATATATATATATATATATATATATATATATATATATATATATATATATATATATAGTGCATTTCGGCAGCAATTCCTCTTTTATACAAGTTTCTCCCATTCTACTACTGAATTGTGTCACTACCGACCTTGTGTCACATGCTGCCCCAGTGGGAGGGGGACTCAATATCGTGATGACTACTGAATTCCTCGGAAAAGAAGGTTCTTCTCAAGGAGACATTGTATCACTCAGCGAAACTTCACGCCTCCGTCGGACAGAGACTCGTTCTTCGAGGAAGAAGGTTTTGGAAGACAATACGTTAATTAATAATAACGTACCAGGAAAAAGAATAGTAAAAATAAAATAAAATAAAATAAAACCTATTTATTACGAGGTTAACGTCAAACGTTCATTTTCTAAAATCTTATTTGATAATTATTGTTTAGATATATGGAAAAATATGGCGTCAGTCAAGAGACTATGGCTCAAGCCTTCTTTCTTTCGAAATGTTGTAACTATTTTGATGAAAGTACGTATATTTTATATTTCAGATGAAAACTTGCATATCTTCCAACATATTTCAGTGAAATTTTCACTTTCGACAATTATAGTTAATAATTATAATTTAGATATTTAGGAGGGATATGGTGTCAGTTTAAACTTGTAGGGACATTATTATTAATAAAATAAAATTATTATTAATAATAATAGATATCATAACTGAATAAAACAAAAAAAAATACCATCCTAGATATGATGATGAACTGCAAGCGCGCCCTGGGTAAGACGATAAACTACATCCGCGTCCTGGGTAAGATGATAAACTTCATCTAACACCGAGGCCTCTGATCAGGGGGTTTTGAGGAGCGTGGAACCACTTTTTAATTGCTGGTGTTCCTAGGTCTATCCTGATCCGGGGTGGTAGCACCTGTTAGGGTCTCAGCTATAGGTAAATAGTTAACTCCCAAACTGTGGTCAAAACACCATAAAAGTGGAAAAATAGGTTTTAATGCTAGCAATACATTTTTGTAAAAAATATTACCAGCAATGAATTTTTGAAGACAAATTACTACCAGCAATACATTTTTGAAAAAAAATACCAGCAATACGTGTTTGAAGATAAAAATATTAACAGCAATACATTTTTGAGGGAAAAAAATAACACCAGCAATACATTTTTGAAAATAAATATTAGAAGCAACACATTTTTGAAAAAAATATTACCGGCAATACATTTCTGGAAAAAAACTATTACCAACAATAAAAATCTTGTCGGCCTTAAATAACGCATTGAGGTTGATATACCGTAAAACAAAACAAACTAAACCAAACCAAACAACTAAAGGATCGAATCAGTTTCTTGATGTAAAGATGAACATCCTTAAGAAAGGCGCCGTACTTGACTTAAAACTAAAAATAATATTATGTTAAATTATAAAAATATTACCAGCAATAAAAATCTTGTCGGCATTAAATAACCCATTGAGATGTTGATATGCCGTAAAACAAACCAAACCAAACAACTAAAGGATCGTATCAGTTTTTTTTATGTAAAGATGAACATCCTTAAGAAAGGCGCCGTACTTGACTTAAAACCAAAAATAATATTATGTTAAATTATAAAAATATTACCAGCAATAAAAATCTTGTCGGCATTAAATAACCCATTGAGATGTTGATATGCCGTACAACAAAACGAACCAAACCAAAAACAAATAAAATAAAATAATCAAAATTTACCCAGCATGCAACAAAAAAACTTTCCTGACTATGAAACATATCCTTCGCGCCTAAAACGCCCAATTCATTCTCTTTCGCGACCAGACTTAAAAGAGACATGACGTCTGTTTCATTTCCTCTCGTGGTACTTTGCTATGTCATACAACAAAGCGATTTCCTTCTTTTTTTTTTATCACATAGAAACCGCATCATACCAGAACTAAATAAGCACACCAGTATAATGAAATAAATAAGTCAATAACATTTTACATTTTCATTTTACCATTTCAACAAGCTTACACTTTCTTTATTGGTTTTTATTCCTTGAACACGACATTTTCTGTCCGAAATTTAGTTAAAACAAAAAGCTCTATATCATCCATATTTTTTAAAAATTTTAAAAATAAGTTAAATTCTTCGTTTAAATTCGTTTAAAATTAATTATATGTATTTCTGAAATTTAAAATATTTTGAAAGAAACTTTTTACTTACTTTCTTCGTAGTGATCCCACAAACTGATGTCAGGAAGATATTGACTTATATTACCAATTCTTTCTTTCTTTCTTTCTTTTTTTTCTTTCTTTCTTTTTTAAGCTGTCGCCTTCCTTTTAAACATTTTAAAGTATGCCCCGTCTTTCTTTCTTTCTTCCTCCCACTTTCATTCTTGTTTCTTTCTTTCGTTTGTTTTGCTTTTCTTTCTTTCTTTCTTTCTTTCTTTCTTTCTTTATTTATTTATTTATTTATTTATTTTTTTCTCCTACATTATTCTCACTTTCATTCTTTTCTTGTCTGTTTCTTTCTTTTGTTTGTTTTGCTTTTCTTTCTTTCTTTCTTTCTTTCTTTCTTTCTTTCTTTCTTTCTTTCTTTCTGCCTTTCTTTCTTTCTTTCTTTATCCCACATTATTCTCACATGTTTTCTTGTTTGTTTTTGTTTGTTTGTTTGTGTCTTTTTTTTCTTTCTTTTTTTCTTTTTTAATTTTCTTTCTTTCTTTCTCCCTAAAAAGAGGAAAAATAATATCACTTTCATTCTTTTCGCGTTTTTCTTTCGTCTGTTTTTTACATTTCTTTCTTTCTTTCTTTCTTTCTTTCTTTCTTTCTTTATCCCACATTATTCTCACATGTTTTTCTTGTTTGTTTTTTGTTTGTTTGTGTCTTTCTTTCTTTCTTTCTTTCTTTCTTTCTTTCTTTCTTTATCCCACATTATTCTCACATGTTTTTCTTGTTTGTTTTTTGTTTGTTTGTTTGTTTGTGTCTTTCTTTCTTTCTTTCTTTCTTTCTTAATATGTCCTTACTTTTTTATGACTTTCTTTCACAACCCATATCATTGTCGTATCTTGGCAGTTCCACATTTTTTAAAAACAACAGGAAGAAAAAGCTTAATCAGCATCATTGTAAGACTGATTCAGGATATAAAAAAGGCCTCAAATCACGACAAGACCTTCTTTTATAGTAATTTGTAAACGTCTACTTATCATCTCTCAGTTGCGTCCCTGTCTTTGGGCAGAGTGCGCTCAGGGGCTTCTCTGTCAAAGGACAACTGAGAAAATAATACTGAGAGGTGTCAGCCCTGGGGAACAGCTGCCCGAGGCCGCGCTTTCTCATTGCACTAGAGAGAAGGATCGGTGCACGCACCGAGGCCAGCTTAACCGACGGTTGCCGGGGCTCGGTGAATTTTTGTTCCTTCCCCGGGTGTACGCGCTCGGGATCCCCACATTAAACCGACCTTGTGTCCCAACCTAACCTCGTGGGGGATTGAGTAAATATCTACTTATCATCTCTCAGTTGCGTCTCTGTCTTTGGGCGAATTTCTCTCAGGGGCTTCCCTGTCCAAGGACAGAGGGGCAACTGAAGGAAATAATACTGCAGAGGCGCAACCGACGGCTTCCGGGGCTGAGGGTGATTTTTGTTCGTGTCCCGAGTGTACGCGCATGGGTCCCCACCTAAAAATAGACCTTGTGTCACATCTCGTCCAAGTGGGGGGGGCAAATACCGCGTGCATACCGTGGGAGGATTATTATTTCTCAGTTGCTTCTCTTCGGGCAGAGTGTGTCTCAGTTGTGGCCTCTATCTGCGGACAGAGTCGCAGCTGAGGAAAATAATACTTTGGGGTGTCCGGCGCTGGGGAACAGCTGCCAGAGTCTGCACCCTTTCATTGTGCTACAGAGGGAGATCTGTGCTCGTCACCGAGGCCAGCGCAACCAGTAGCGAGGCAGTGAGGATTTTTTGTAACTCTCCCGAGAATATGCGCTCGCGTTCCCCATGTCGTTAAGACTGACCTTGTGTCGCATCCTGTCTCAGTGGGAAGACATGAGTAAATAACTACCGTAGAAGGATTATAATTTCTCAGTTGCGTCTCTGTCTTCGGGCAGAGAGAGAGACTCATTTGTGGCTCAGTCCGCAGACAGAGACGCAGCTGGGGAAAATAAAAACTATGAGGTGCCATATCCCGGGGGACATCTGCACGAGACTGCACCCCCTATTGAACTAGAGAGGTGGGATCTGTAGTCGCTACTGTGCCCAGCGCAGCCAATTTTTGTCCTTGACCCGAGTATATGTGTTCGGGTTCCCCACATTAGACCCGACTTATATCACATCTTGTGGAGAGACCGGGGTAAATAACCATTCCGCGGTCCAGATGGCTAGGATAAAAGTGTAGTATCTGTTCCAGCATCCGACAGCCAGCCTACGGCTCTAGCCATCAGCAGTAGTTCCAGGCAGGCATCTTCATCTCCAACTTGATATCAGCCACGGCTCCAGCCAACTCCAGTTCTGGGCATCCTCACCAGCACCAACGATATGCAATAAACTGTCGTTTTCAGGATATAACTTTTCAGCGACCACAAAACTCTTCTTTTCAGGACAACGCTCTCTCGCGACATCCAAAACTGTCCTTTTCACGACAACGCTCTCTCGCGACATCCAAAACTGTCCTTTTCAGGACAACGCTCTCTCGCGACTTCCCAAACTGTCCTTTTCAGGACAACGCCCTCTCGCGACTTCCAAAACTGTCCTTTTCAGGACAACGCTCTCTCGCGACTTCCCAAACTGTCCTTTTCAGGACAACGCCCTCTCGCGACTTCTAAAACTGTCCTTTTCAGGACAACGCTCTCTCGCGACTTTCAAAACTGTCCTTTTCAGGACAACGCTTTCTCGCGACTTCCAAAACTGTCCTTCTCAGGACAACGCTCTCTCGCGACTTCCCAAACTGTCCTTTTCAGGACAACGCCCTCTCGCGACTTCTAAAACTGTCCTTTTCAGGACAACGCTCTCTCGCGACTTTCAAAACTGTCCTTTTCAGGACAACGCTCTCTCGCGACTTCCCAAACTGTCCTTTTCAGGACAACGCCCTCTCGCGACTTCCAAAACTGTCCTTTTCAGGACAACGCTCTCTCGCGACTTCCAAAACTGTCCTTTTCAGGACAACGCCCTCTCGCGACTTCTAAAACTGTCCTTTTCAGGACAACGCTCTCTCGCGACTTTCAAAACTGTCCTTTTCAGGACAACGCTTTCGCGACTTCAAAACTGTCCTTCTCAGGACAACGCTCTCTCGCGACTTCCAAAACTGTCCTTCTCAGGACAACGCTCTCTCGCGACTTCCAAAACTGTCCTTCTCAGGACAACGCTCTCTCGCGACTTCCAAAACTGTCCTTCTCAGGACAACGCTCTCTCGCGACTTCCAAAACTGTCCTTCTCAGGACAACGCTTTCTCGCGACTTCTAAAACTGTCCTTTTCAGGACAACGCTCTCTTGCGACTTCCAAAACTGTCCTTCTCAGGACAACGCTCTCTCGCGACTTCCAAACTGTCCTTCTCAGGACAACGCTCTCTCGCGACTTCCAAAACTGTCCTTCTCAGGACAACGCTTTCTCGCGACTTCTAAAACTGTCCTTTTCAGGACAACGCTCTCTTGCAACTTCCAAAACTGTCCTTTTCAGGACAACGCTCTGTCGCGACCTCCCAAACTGTCCTTTTCAGGACAACGCTCTATCGCGACTTCCCAAACTGTTCTTTTCAGGACAACACTCTCTCGCGACTTCCAAAACTGTCCTTCTCAGGACAACGCTCTCTCGCGACTTCCCAAACTGTCCTTTTCAGGACAACGCCCTCTCGCGACTTCTAAAACTGTCCTTCTCAGGACAACGCTTTCTCGCCCTCTACGTGATCAGGCAGTGATATTATTTGCTTAATGCACTGTAACCTTATTTTTGCTGACGTATTTTCTTTAACGAAAATAAACTTGGCAACATATTATTTAGTCAAATCTTTTTGTTTGTTGTTGTCTTCCGTATTTTAAAACTTTTTGTGGTCTAACATACCAGCCGCAACATCCTCATGGCATCAATTTAAATTAGCGGTTACTTTTTTTTTCTTCTATATATTGCAATCAGGTTGCTTAATGTTTATATTTTCTTAATTTCACATGAAAACTTGGAACATTGCTAACATATCTCAGTGAAATTTTTGCTTCACAAATTTATATTTCAGATACAGAGGAACCTCGGTTCTCGATCGTCTCACATGTCGAACAAATCCGTTTTCGAACAGAAAATTCGAGATGAAAATGCTTCGGTTATCGAACAAAATTTCGGTTCACGAACAACATTGCCGAACCGAGCCAAACTGACCCGAACCGAGCCGAACTGAGCCGAACCGAGCCGAACCGAGCCGAACCGAGCCGAACCGAGCCGAACCGAGTTAACCCGAACGGAATCATTTCTGAGTCGACCGCCATGTTGTATACATTCGTGTGTTGTTGTGTTGTGCTTTCTTTTTCCAATTTTCTTTTTCTCTTCATTAGTCCTCATGTCATGGCTCCAAAGAAAGCTAGCAGTGATACTGGTAAAGGAAAAAGCAAAGTTAAGAGAAAAACAATTGTTGATAATATTGTCTCTTCCGACTCAGTTCAGTATTGCAAAATCAACGATCTATACTATTCTTATAAATAAAGAGACGATCATGTCTCTTTTCCTTTTCCAAACAATAACATCTCTTTCCGTCCCCTTCCACTTGCGCTATCAACTCTCCTACTTAAAGCTACGGCAAAATTAAAATGTTCGTCTATATTTTATCTGTTTAGTATTGGGTTTATTTATTTTTTCTTAGATTGAATAATTTTCATTAATTTTGTGTATAAACTTGTGCACAAAGTACTGTTGTTAAAGTTTGAATAAGCAATCATCTTAGAACCAGGGACAGATTAATCCATTTTACATTGATTCCTATTGAAAAAATAGTTTCAGTTTACGAACATTTCGGGTTACGAACGGCCTTCAGGAAAGAATTAAATTCGTGAACCGAGGTTCCACTGTATATGGAAAAAAAAAAACAGCTGAAGACTTCATTTTAAATTGACGCCAGGAGATTTGATTAAAACAACACAGGCGATCTTGATGTACTATGGACCATTTTTTTTACCTTTTGTGAGCAGTAGCATTTAAGTTATCACTACCAAAATAGTCTAATTCATTGGTATGTTTAAAAAACTGGTAAGTAATTTTTTTTTTCAGGGTGAAATTTCCCGAATCTTATTTTTTTATTTTTACCTCTCTAAATATCAGACCAAAATACATAGATCATTTTTAAGAATCTAGACTGTACCTCGTTTAGACAATTTTCTCGCCCCTTTCTCTGTGCGTTCGAAAATAAACTGCCAGAAAATCGATCAGCCAGCACCTACAAAAATCGATTTGATTTTCCTGTAGTGATGCGTCACCGTTCTGAAGTTTTCTGCTCGTGGCTCCCTCCTGGCCACGGACAATAACAAAAGCGACGATCATTGTTAAAAAGTTCGATTCCCAGTTGGAAGACAAGGAAACAAAAGGCATTTATGGAAATGTTTAAGTCAAATAATCAATATTTATGGGTTATTTGTTTCCGATGGTAAGTAGCCAGACATTTTTTTTAATGCAAGCGAGCATCTCTGTTGCATACAGTCGCGACAATTGGTAATAATGGCACTATTTTTAATTTCCAGAATTGTGAACATGGCGACAGGGTCGACTGCGTTATAGGGGACTAGCCAGCAGGCCTCGTAAACTTAGTGAGTTCGTTCTTTGCTAGGTTTTTCTTTTCTTTTATGCGCCCTGTCCCTTAAGGACGTTGATGATTATTACTCTCCACAATTTCCTGTCCTTTGTAGCTCTTAGTAATTCGTTTTGTTATCTCTACTAAACCGTGTTAGATCCATCTGCACAAGCTCGTTAGGTAGGTTATATGATGTTTTACTCTGTCTCTCTCGCTTTCAATCTGTCCTGTGAGTATCAAAATTTCCAAGCCCTCTGT